CAGCACGTAGACGCGGCTCAGAAGGGAAATCGGTCTGTAGTTCTTCAAGAGAGCGTTGTCGCCTTTCTTAAAGAACAAGACCACCGCACTTCTGCTCCACGCCTCTGGAGTAGTGCCACCATGGAGGACGGAATTGAAGAGCTTCTGAAGGACTTCAAGTACCGGTGTTCCACTCGCTTTCAGAAGCTCCGCTGTAATTCCATCCTCGCCTGGGGCCCTGCCGTTTTTACGGTGCTGGCGAGCCATTCTAATCTCGCTTAGACTGACGTCCGGGATGGGTCCTGCCGTGTAGTGGCGGTTAAGAATATCCACTACCCCATATCTTCCCATGGGGGTCGTAAAAGGCGACAGAGGGAAACAGGCAGGAGGATAACATCAACTGTACGACAAAAAAAACTGCGGTTGCCAACCCGCTCGCCAAGCGTGGCAACTATGGCAATATACCCTCCATGAACAATTAGGTTATGTTACTTATTATAAAACAAAATTGTAATGTCCCTATTGAAAAACCTTTTACATGAAGCCATGGTAACTCAACGGCTAAACGCTCGCTGTAAATTACAAGGTACGCGAGAAACCTGGGTTTGATCCCCGCTAGCACTTAACCTTAACTAAAATTCGGTCACAGCAACCATTTTCAACAAGTACTAGCCATCTGCGCAGGAAAAGATTATATATAGTGTTCGAGTGCGTGCGCAAGCTCAGGTGCTCTTCTCCCTATTCCTTCACTCTCGAAGTCCGAGGGACGGCAATCCAACAAGACCGGATAGTGATCAGATGCAGGGCCAACGGCTTTATACGTTTTCCGAGGCTCAGGGTGAAACTCCTAAAACTGCCTGATTTCGAATTGCTGAATTTAATACCCTTGGTAACATGCTATAGCAGTTTTACAAGGTTTTATGTCTACTATTTTCTTAGATGGATAAATTATCGTAGTTTAGTTGTGCCATAGTATATTTGCTGATAATTTTTTTTTCTAGTAATTTTCTTCTTAGACTCTTCTGTCCTTCACAACACACGTAGGTATTCAGTTTACGTATTCAATTAAATTATAAATCACATGTTCTCACGTTCGATATAACGAATGATTCACGCAATAAAGCCTAGATTACACGGATAAAAGGGTTAATTGATAGATTAAACGCTTAATTACACCGCTTTAATTTAATAATCCTATTGACCCTTCGAACTTAAGTGGTACGGCGCATGAAAATCAATAAAAATATAAAAACTTTTTTTACTATATTAAAAGAAAAAAATGGATTTCATAATGATTTCTTTTTTATTTGATAATGATTTATTTTATTCAAATGGATTTCACTAAGATCGAATTCATAATATACCCAATATATAAGGTGGAAAATGCATCATTCATGTTCCTTCATCATCGTGCCCGAGGTTACCTTTCAGTTTCATTGGTACTGATGGGAATCAAAATCGGGTTTCTCTGGAAATGTACTTTATTTCGCTCTTTAATACTGTTTTATTAAAAGTATAAGCTATTCTTTTTATCATAGCTGGTATCCGGAGTCATGAAACTTTAAAAAAGAGCTATTAATTTTATGAAATCGTGCTCTTCATTTATTTTAGTTTCGACTTAAATTGTGATGAAGGGGCTTATGAATATTTATAAAATGATAACAAATTGTGAAATCGTGCAAGAAGCTACAAAAATATGTTTTTAAAATAACTCATTATTTTTCTAAAAAAAACTGTTTATTTTGAATTCTTCGGCCAAAACATACTTTATTTCCTGTACGAAAACTTGGTAATCAATCGGATCCTAACACTGCAGTGAAGAATCATCTTTACAAAACAAATGCAATAAAAACTGACGACTACCCCATCTGATAGTAAGTGATGATTTTTTTTATAGGATAGGGTGACAAACGAGCACACAGTCCACCTGACGGTAGTGGTTGCTGCGGCCCATAGACATCTACATCTATCCTCGATTACAAATCAAAATACAGAATACATATGTGTTGTCAACCGTGAGGACTAAGATGCCTCGTTTCCAGTAAAAAGAGTCTCCAGTTCTCTACACTCACCATAAGAAACACAGCAGCATTAACCTACTATTTGACGCTGGTATTCTGTGAGAGCGTGGTCCTTCTCCGGTCGAGCCGACCCATTCGTGCTACAACTATACTACTAATATAACTGCAGCATGGCTATGCCACGTATAAAAATGACGAAGCCCTAAATGGAAAACCGCACTGGCTAGAATACCAAAACGATTTTCTCTCTTACTTTGAAGTCACACAGATTTTAATCGGACGGGAAGACAGACGCCGAGGAATTATTTAACGTATTTGATGTAAGCATAACGAAGGCAAATCATACCGTTTGGTTTGAATGCGTGGAATATCGACATCAAAGGGGCCGCTTGGTTGTCCGATGATGGAAAGAGGAGGGAGTAATTAAGGGGATAGAGTAAGTCAGCTCAAATTCTAATTTCGTCCCCACTTGCCCGCGCGTCGTATGCTATGTACCGACATGTTTGTAATCACTAATGCTGTAAGTAGAAAGGTCGTTAGACACTTATTTCATTAGTTTTATCATATTTATGCCTGTTTCTTAACGCCAAGCCAGTCGCTTCTTATTTTTATTATGGTTATTTCCCATTTTAATTTTACGTCGTCCTGTTGCGTAATGTATATTCTGATCGTAAGCGGCACAACCTCCCCGTTCAAAGGCCGAAGCGAAGTGACCGTGCGGCAGGAATCACGCTTCAAAAGGCCGATAGTTTAGGTAATTTCTTTTTACAGTGAAAATAATGGTATTTAAAAAAAATTAAATAACATAAGCCCTGCTTTATAGTTACTTCAGTTAGTATGCAAAGTTTCATGATCTCATTTAATGTATGTTATGAATAACAGCGGTTTATTTTGGAGGGAACTTTGGATTTTTTTTCTATCGAGAAAATTTTACGAAATCGTGTTTTCGTCTAACATAATCCTTAACATTAATCCTCAACTTTACCATATATTTATTTCAAAATTAATGCTGCAATATTTTCGGCATAACGAAGGATCTTGCTAAGCCATTTGAGATTATATTTCCCCTTAAGGCTTCCTGTGTATACCCTCCGAAATATACATCTCGTTGTAAAGCTCGATGCCTTGTTGTAAAGACGAGTTTTGTTTTTTCTTTTTTTTTTTTTGGAATTATTTGACCTTGGGAATATTGGAAATTAGTCCCGTGGTTAAAATCGGCTGAAACATATTGTTTTTATTAGTAGTATGGTGAACAAGCTTAACAGTCCACCTGATGGTATGTAAGGTGCAGGCCATGGTCATCTACAACCGATAAAACAACAGATGAGTTGTTAGTCCAAAACGCTAAGGCAAAATCTCCCGTAACCCCTATGAAACCTGACTCTTGCCAGATAAAGATAAGAGGGCGGTACTAGTCCAGATTGTGTTCCTAAACAAATAAAGGCCCAACTTAGTAAAATTAATAATCAGTAACATCAAAAAAAAATTTAAATATATCACTTTAAAAAACTTTAAATGGTAATACAAATACGAAACTTTTGTTATATACCTATCGTATATTACGTTGTTTTGTTCAACTTTTTCTCCATTCTCAGAACTTTCCTTAGACAAGGAGCTTTATTGCTTTATTACACTCGATATATAAATGAAAGTTTGTTCAATAAAACGTTATAAGGCTTCTTTGAGCTCTCTTTTTTTAATCTGTCAGTAATAAAAAGTTTGTAAGACTTGCTTTATTTATCGGAGCGGGTGAGTACCCGCTTTGTATAGTAGTTCCATGTACGTAGGGATAAAAAAATCAACGTAAAATTTCTTATCTTTAAGAGGATACCTATGCTGCAAAAAAAAATAGGTTTTCTAAGATATAATTGCATTCAAGCTATACCGGAATGGCCAAGCTAAGCAACCAAAAGAGATAACTGCAGCTTTGACTGATTACAGCTATGAGAAATTGACGAATTCGCTCGTATATCTCTGTTTCCTCCTCAAAAACTGGAACAATTTTTTTTAAAGAACAGCCAAAGAAGGCTATGTCTATATGTGACCACGTTTTACTACGGTTTTATTAACTCACTCTGGCTCGTGTATGTTCGAGTCGAATTTGGAAATTGATTTTAAACTAATTTCTGGATGAGAATAATTTTCAATGAGAGAGAGAGACAATGTAAAAATATAAATATAACCTAGTATAAAAATGACCTAAACAATTAAGTATATTCGTTTATTTTTTATGTTCATTAATTTTGTAGGTACAAGACAAAGGTATGTAATTTGTACAGTAAACAAAATTGCTCAATTTTCATTATCCAAGAAGAAAACAGCAATATGTTTGTACCCCGCCATTTATCCCGCCATTACATCTTCTTACTTTAAGATATATTTCATATACAACCTCTATATATTTGGAGTAAAATACGTCTTCTCATTTATACCTTTATAATTATACCATATCATAAGTACAGCACATTTACTTATTATATTAATGATTAAGCTTGTACATTTTTATCAATAAATTTATCATGTGCTAACAATATATTATGCAACATATTATTTTGTTACTCGCGCAGACATTAAAAATCAATTGAGATATATTTGTCGAAATTGGACGATTAGTTTAGGACATGACCGAAAGTGGGCAAAAAATGTTTACCCTTTTTGAGCTTCACAACAGTCGAGTAATAAAGGAAGTGAGAAAGTTTCCGGACGAAAAAGCACAACAGATTCGGGAAAAAATCATAGGCATATCAATTTGTTCGCAGAGTTTCGATGTTCAATTTTGATTATTCAACTATTTGGTAGTAAAGCGTATATATTTTATGCAATGCTCTCGTGAATTGAATACAGATTAATACGAATTTAAATAACATTGAAAGTCACCAAACTGTTCAGTACATTTACTCCTGATGTTCTCAGACAGAGTAACTTTGTACAATTCAACTAAAGCAGATTTTTCTTTTTATGTTCCACAATCCAAAGTTAAGCGCTCCAATCTATTTTCAGAGCGTCGTTAAACGAACTCAAGAACTTCGGAGCGTTTGTCACAAAGTTCGAGCAGTCCGACGCGGAGTATGGACGACGGCAAGAATGTAATCAATTTGGACTCGGTGCTTGAAAGCCTCGGACCCTATGGAAGATACAACCTTTTGAATTTCGTCTTATTACTCTTCCCAGTGCTGTTGAGCAGCTTCTACGAATGCGGATTTATATTTGAAGCACAGGAGCAATTTTACCGGTAAGAATTTCTATTTTATCTTAATAGAGTTCTTGTACTTTACAATCAGCTCCATTTGCATTGTGTGTCGCCAGCACAACGAGCACATTCATTGCTGCAGAACGCTGAGTCGAATGTCTAGTTATCTCTAGAATACAAAGTATTCATATATGCACACGACAGTGTTTTTATATGCATAGTATATGTTTCTACCTCCTTTTTTCATTACATCCAGTATGTTTCGTATGAGTCGATATTTTATAAATTCTGCAGCTATTTTATGGCAACTTTTCATACGGCTATATAACCAACTCATGTCTCCAAATATAAAATATCCAAACTAAAATAATTAGACAAAGGGCTCGCAAATATATCTACGAAAAATAAAGGTTATGGCAAATTCTATTGACGAGCTTTGGTCTGTTAACCAGCAAAAGAATAAGCTGATATTTTATAAAAGAGCTAGAGTAAACGAGCATATGGCTCACCTGATGGTAAGTGGTCACCGTCGCCCACAAACATCTGCAACACTAGAAGAAATGCAGTTGCGATTGTTGCAGAGTAAACTCCTATCTAAAAGAGAGACTTTTAAGTCACCACAATATGATAACAACTGTTAAATTATATTATATTTCTGTGATAAGGTTAATAATTATGAGTAGATACTAGTGATCTCGATTAATTGATTAACTGTATTTATTAGTATATTCTATCCTAATTATGATTGCCATTGGTCTTCTAAATAAAAATATAATATAATAATATTAAAATTACATAAACGCCTAAAAATGCCCCAATTATGACGTCATAGAAGGCAGACGGAGTATATGCCCAAGAAAATGCTAAGGGATACTATCTCATCTATTAGACTTCAACCCTCAAACCAGTGACGAATAGTTTAATACATTAATTTTGCGATCGCCTAGCAATGCTCTCTAGTGAAAGTCAACTTAAAGGAAATGTAAAAAACACATTGAATACGGATTGCTAAAGAAAAGCTAATGATAACGAAGTTGTTAAGAATTAGGTACATCACTCATATCCGCCCAGTGAAATAAAATGACGTCTCTTACCTAGTTTGAAGAGCACCTCCCGCCCTCCCTCAATTGCTTACAATATCCCTGTCACCACTAATCCAGCACCACTATTCCCAACACTACACTAGGATAGATACACCACAGACGATAATACAACACGATCCTCATGTGAAGTCAACTCTGCGGTGACTGACCAGCGCGAGCCAAAACATTTTATTTCATTGAGCGGATTTGAGCGAAGTAATTCTTACCAACATTATTATGACGGATTTCCTCAAAGTAACGTCCTGATCATATCATAAAGCTAACGAATTTGTATATCATAAAGCGAACGAATTTATTTCTGCAGGCAAGCAATAGTTTTTTATAGGATAGGGTGACAAACGAGCAAAGTACTGATGGTAAGTGGTTTGGCCCATAGACATTTATTATTGATGAGCGATACATGAATGCCTCTTTGATGTTAAGTATGTAGTCATCTAGTATGATATTTTAGTTAACAGGATATTGAAAGCTCGTACGATTAGGGACGTGAACCCTTTATTAGTCCTCAGAGGAGAGAAAGTACCTCTATGTTTAACACGTTAAACGCCATGGGTAGCACCGGTGACCTCATGTATGTTGCTTTATTGCGCCGTGCGCGGTGACATGGGTGACCGGACATGCGAGATCTAAATTTAAAGTGCTTTTTTTGCGCCACCGGTCACGCGTGTCGTTTATTTCGCCTATGTGAGTGAGCAATCCTTTGTAGTGGGACACACCTGCCTAGTAAATTTTAGAAAATAGGTACTAAATTATGAGAAGTTGGGAAAAATACGGTAAAAAATGTTATGTTCGTTATTCACTTAAACACTTGCGAATAACACAATAATGTACTTTAGGACACGTATCAAACTTCAAAAGGACAATAAAGCTACTCACACAACCTTGCAAGCGCTAGCGCAGTACTGAAGTGAAGTGGGCGGCGGGGTGCCAGCCATGGCGCTGCCGTAACGAAAAATTAAATTTCTACTACACAGCGCCATGGGGTGCACCCGTGACCTCAAACGGTTTTTCTCTTATAACTACGGAACCCAACGTCAGATTAAAATAAAAAATGTTTTGGGTACTTATCAATTTCAAATACGTCGATTATTACAAAAAAGATTTTTTGAAAATTTTCATGTTTCCATGATGGAGTTTAACGTGTTAAGTTACTTTAGAACTGTACCTACTTCAAATTTGACAATTTAACATCGATTAACAGCCAACCAAAATTCATTTTAAATTCTACCAATACTCTTTTAAAAGCCGTGGTAGTTGAGATGGTTAGCGCTCGTTGTAAATTTCACAATACGCGGGCAATCCGGGTTCGATACCCGCCAGTACTAATGAGATTGTTAACTGCGATTTTAAGAGCTTATTTACAACGTGCTCGGCGGTGAAGGAAAACATTGTCAGGAAACCTGCATGTCCGAGAAATTAGAAAAAAATATTTCGAAGACATGTGAAGTTCTCCAACACGAATTGGAGCAAGGTGGCGGACATTTCATGCCCTAAAACCCTCTCAGAAATGAGGGGAGACCCCGGTTCTCCACACTTATCATATAAAACACAGCATTTAGCTGCTATTTTACGCTGGTATACTGTGAGAACATGGTCCTATTCCGATTGAGCCGACCCATTCGTGCTACAACCTTAATATAGCTGCAGCATGTCTCTAATAGGTAAAAAGTTACAAAAATATCTAATTCCTATTCGCACTGTGTTGCTGCTGCATTTCATTCTGGCCGGTCAAAGAGCTGCCGTTTAGCTACTAGTCATCAATAAGTTTAACTTCATAATTTTTGAAATCTTCGATAATATTTAACAGCAGTACGTATCCATTTTCGAAATAGTTAGTTTTGATCGTAAAATTAATGGTTTCTAACCGGATTGTACCGGTTGTGATACCGGATAGCCGCAATTCAGTAAACCTCATGATCGACCGCATCCTGCGGATATGGCAGATTAATGGATGAAACTATAGTTAGGTACTAATTTAAGAGGTAAGGGGCCTAAATACGCTGAACCTAAATTTCATGAACTTTTAATAGTGAATTAATTATTAAAGTCTTAATTCCTCCATCTCCCTTACACCATCGAGCAATAACACGGTAGAATCTCGAATGTCTTTTGTTGTCAATATAACCCGCTTTCGAACCAAGCTGTACGCTATGTCGTTTGTAATGCGTAAGTAGCAATGGAGTGGAGTAATTTTCCATTTTTTTACAAGATGAGATAAGGAGGCTCGGCCTGTATGCAGATACGAGAGGCTCGGACTAAGGAGGCAGTTCAGGTAGGCCGAAAGCTTGTTGGGGAGAGGGAGTCCGACAGAGAGAGTTTCTCGGCCTGCGTACACTATAGCGAGTGGGAAGTGGGGCTGCATAGGCAGCTGCCTCGCGAATGAGGTGATTTGAGTAAGGCTTCGAAGAATTTCTCAGAGTGAATTTTTTTTTAATTAATGTAATTTTCCAAAATCTGTATTTCATTCGATTACATTGTGGTTGTTTTCAAGGCAAAAGTTAATAGACTTTTACTAAGCTAAGTCAGTGCGTCACTTACGTAACAACACAAGTAGAATGGCAATCAAGCATTCGTTCATAATATATAGTTAAAAAAAATGTTCTGACTGGCACGTGATCGAAACGACATCTAAAGTCTAGGTGTGAATTTAAAAATGCCAGTGATAAATTGGTTTTGGTTGTACGGTGCCCATTACGAGTTACTTGACAGCCTAGCCAAAGGCTAAATGTTGTCATGCGAGATTATTTATGACACATTATAAATATGGTAATTTTACTCGACGGGATATTTAAACAAGGCTTGTGTCAATGAATATATTGCATCAGTAACGTGGTATACAAAGTTGTAACATTAATGCAATTAATGAGATAAATGGACTTTCCACTTGCCACTTTATTAAAGCGTTAATCATTTGTAATCTTTTATGGTGATAGCTTGTGTATTTGGGAAAATAATGCACTTAAATTTATAAAGCATGACAAATTTCTGGGAAGTGTGTTTGTTCAGAAAATTTGAATGATCAGTCAACTTTATATTCATAATAAAAGTACAAAAAAGTTATGGGTAATCAATATGGTAAGAGTTTTTAATTGTTAAATAATAAATTTTTGATTAATCAATTATTTTATGCAATGCTGTCGTGAATTTACTACAAATACATTTACTCCTTATCTTTGTAGATTAATCTTTTAATTTTTTCTATGGCACGTTTGGATTACCGTACGAACAACTCATAGATAGATTAACTCGCTGAGTTATTCGTGTACGAGTCAGACGCGTTTACATATTCGTCTGTACTATTCTATATAGATTTTTCAAGCATGGATGACATACGTCTCGTTGCTACGACATCGTCAGTAGACATTTGTTTCTATTTAACTTTATATATATATATATAATTTAAAATGAAAAAAGAGGGGACGCAATTTTGAAATTTATAATTTTAGCTGAACCGAATACATAGTTATATATTTTGTCAGAGAAAGATATTAAAGGAAACTATAACGGTAGATTGGCTAGATAAATTAAATTGATAGTTCACGGGTCAAGCGATTAATGAAGAGATACGAATACACACGATCATTCCTTTAACTCCTGCTAAAACAAACATCGAGTGGAGAATAGGCGATAACATAGTATGAAGGCAATTACTTTAAATATAAGATGCCAAATGTTTGCTACAACTAAAATTCTAGTCCGAAATCACGTGAAGCAAAAAGAAACCGTAAATATATAATAAGTATCACATGATATTTCAAGTTTGCCAACTCACATTGGAGCAGCGCGACGGAGACTTCCTATTATTAAAACCCACTAAGTTATAAGAGAAATCCAGGGGTGAGGTCTATATTGTTTGTAAAAACTCTTATTTCACTTTCATCCAACACTATTCCGATGATATCCTGGCCGTCTGCTCAATGACCTCAATAGAGTCTCCCA